ATATTTTTTATTTGTTTATTTATTTCTATTTATTATTAGTGTTTTAATGTAATGTATTTGTTTTTTCATTATTTATAATATATTCATTGTTTTATTTTATTGTTTTTTCATTGTCTGTTTTGGTGTATTTATTTATATTTATTTATTTTATTTATAAATACATTTATATTTTTTTATTTATTTATAATATATATATATATATATTTATTTTATTTTAAAGTTATTTACTCGTTTTAGACATCAATACATCCATTTATTTATGTACTATTACCTAATGTATATTATTATTTATTAATTCTTTAATAGCTTACTATAGAATATAAATAAATAAATAAATAATAAATAAATATTAGAACTAATTTTGCCCTTGAAATTTAAATCTTGGCCTCAATGTGACGAACAAAATAAACTTATTAAGCTCAGCTCAACTCAACAGACTAAAAGTTTTGATAAATTGTCTGATAATAGTTTCCCCCATATATATTTTTCAGTCCCTTTATTAACCACAGACAAGCCATTATTTTAAAGCACATCTTCTTAATGCAGACCACTGACTGTACCTGCTACACTCACATATCATACATTGCTGGATTCAGCACAGTCAGAACTTTCTAACAAACCCTGGTTGGTGTTTGTGGGACAATCCCAGCCAAAGCTACCTTTAAGTAAATGAATACATTCATCATAGAGCCTAAAATTTGATATTTCCGCCTGTTGTTCGCCTGTGTTTGTAAGTAAGTAAGTAAGTAAGTAAGTTAAACTTTATTTATATAGCACCTTTTTGACACAGAGATCCAAAGTGCTTTCCAAACAACTTGTAGTCCTGTATTATAATATTCACATTCTGCTTTTTGGGTGCCGTCCCATTAGCCTAGTTGGTTTGTCAAGTTAACTCCTTCACATGCAACCGTCACACAGTCCCGCCTCACCTGACTGTGAAGGCCTTACTGGCCTTCGAGGCACTGTGAGTGGGCGAGTTACTGGCACTTCTGCTCAGATCCTCCGCTGACTTGTCCGTAGCTTTGCTTTTGTCTGCGGGCAGCGAGCCGTTGTCCAAAGAGTCTGCGTCATACCTGCGAGCCACAGAATCAGTTCACTCTCATACAAATGTAGCACACGGAGGTATGCAGGAGATCGGTTGATACAGTGGCGAGAAGCAGTTGTGTGAGGGAGATAAGACGGACAGAGCTGAGACCTGACAAATACTGCTAATACATACGTGACAGCACTGTGGGCAAAGGACAGATAGTCCACAAGAACATCTAAGCCTTGGTTCTCCTCGTTTAGGAACTCCTCAGCCCAGCTGCACCAAGAAAGGACATTTTGACTCAGTGGCACAGCTGGAAACAGCAAACACTAACATTTTAAGATTTAAAAATGACACTGATTCACAAGGCCTGCCCCCCCAACAGTCGACTAAACCCAAGAGTCTTATGCTGCATTCAGGTGGAATCAGGCAAACCGGATGTCATCTATCTATTTTACATTTACAGTTTTTGTTTAAAGTGTGAAAATTAGTGTCCAAAAGTTTAAGTTTTAAATTCTTGACATTGTTCTTTATTGTATTCACATGCAGATAAACGTCTTTACAATTGCAGTGTTAAATACTTCAGTTAAACACTATTCTTGTGTAGTTTTTATACTAAGATTTTGTCAAAATTTATGATCTCAATTCTTTAATTTGTTTGAAATAATCAGCTTTAAAAAAACCTCAACAAAGTCTTATTCATTCGAACGGGAACAGGAGCGAAACTCACCCGATATAATTGGTCCTCAGGGAAATCTCCAACTCTCTCAGGATCTGAGTGGATTCCTGGACACGTCTCTTAAACTGAGGAAACACACGAATCAGGTTGGAAGGTCAGTAAATGCTTAATTGGTCAGAAAATGTAAAAGATGCCACAGCATTTATTTGTAGGACTTAATAGACAATCATATAAAAACAGCTTCCGGCGAGAGAAACAAACACTGTGAACAGATTAAATGAAAGGAGGGAAACCCTTTGCTAAAAAGCATTAAAACTTGTGTAAAATGTTGTTAGAAACTAATAAATAGGCCATAAATTATCGTGGCAATTCAAATTAACGCAAAACCCACAAATATCATGCATTTAGCATTTATTATGTCATCTTTATATATAAGAGTTTCTCTCTGACTGACTTCCAGCGGATATTTGATCACTTTAAATCAATTTCCAAGTGTTTCCGTGACTGGAAAACTAGTCTCTAAATATCCAAGCTTTCCAGGATGTGTATTGACTTTATATGGCACTATATGACCCTCCTCCATTGCATCTGAGCTGATCTTTTATCATAATATTATCTGTAGTCCATATCCGGTCTGTAGCTTGCTGCTCTGGTTATAGTGGATTCCCAAGTTATTACTAACCAATGCAAACACACTCGCTGTACCTGAACGCAGACGTTTCACTTGACTTAATCTCTGCCAAATATGTGAGTAAATGTTAAAGATCAGATCTGACGGCCGGTATCGACTATATTAAATGTCTGCCACAAAAACATAAAGAATTTTATCAACATATTTCAGGAAATACTGCGATAAGAGCTTTCAGTTATTTAAGTTATTTCATAAATTCAGCTTTAAACCGAGCTGTGGGTTGAGTCTGTTTGTACCTTTCGACTGACTCCTCCGTGATCCAGGTAACTCTTCAGCTTCTCCAAATAAGCGGACGGTGGATTCTTCACTTGAAACCTCTCCTGAAGATGCAGAGAAACACACACACACACACACACACACACACACACAGACCTCTAATTATATTTGATTGCAGTACTGCAGTGCGGGGAAGGGGGCCCCGAAGGGCAGGGCTCAGCCGGGGCTTCACACAGGCACTTTGATTACACAGCGTCTTTTATGCAAATGGATTTGATCTCAACCAGTTTCCTGAAATGAGTCAACTGTGGAGCAGTTACACTCACACACAGTCCGGCTGCTGCAGACTCACTCACGCTCTTTAATTGAATCTATTCTGTCAGTTTTTGAAATTTGTGGGAATGTTTGGTTTCCCTTTTTGTGCAATTTTAATTATTTTTCCCTAAAGAGAAGCTGAGTGAGCCACAGTTCGATGAGGACAGGTGTCCTCTGTCACGCTCCCATCATGATGCAGGGTGTTGTGCCTCCCTGTGGTTACTACGGTGATGTACAATATTAATGAACTTCCTTGTGTGTTTGTGAGGATTGGAGCGGTTTGGTATTTACACTGCTCACACTGTATGTCCACCACCCATAAAACATGTGCTGTTAATTGTCTTATGTTTGCATGGTGATAGAGCGGGGGGGCAGCAGTGGCAGCAGTGGAGGAAAACATAAAGAACATAAAAGAAGAACATAAAATGTGGAGAGAGCAGACCCACCTGGTCACAGATCAGGTCCCACTTCTTCTCGTTGTCATACTGACTGAGGATCTTCACCTTGTCTGGAGGGAGATTCATCGTGTTCTGGAAACAGAGACACAGCCTTTAAAGTAAAAAGTTAACCTGTGCATGACAGAAAAGCTATATTATTTATTCATAATTTCTCAGGTTTGGCAAAAAGAAGTTCAACTGAAATCACTAAAGTCTCTAAAAATACTAAAACTACTACTATTATTGAAATTAACAAAAAAAGTCTTAAAAAAGCTCCTTTAGCCTTCAACCCTGAGGGGAACATAGACTATATAGGCTGTTGTAGGTTGTGAAGCACAGTGTGGTCGGCTCTGGCCGGTGCCATCTTGGCAGTCCTGAATCTAAAAATGGGCAAAGAGGTGCAGCGTGGGTAGAGTTCTTAAGGGCTGAATGAAGCCTGGTTACTAAAAACGTCCACCCAGCTGTCACTCAAAGCGGCCACACCCTTAATTATGTATAACTTTAAGCCTTAATATTAGAGGAACTGCAGTTTTTGTGGGCGTGATTGAGTCTGACGGAGAAAGGGTTAGATCTGGTGCCATTTTTTTCCCGCCCCTGCCTCTCAAACACCGCCACCAGACAGGAGGGGATGCCCTTAAAACAAAGAAATATTACATATATCTTTATATATACCTTTTTAGGTAGTGTTTTTTCCCTTAAAACAGATATGTACCATATTCTGTAGCAGAAAAATAAAAGTCTTACCACTTATCTGTACCAGCGTATGCAGCCTAATCTATATTCTGGCTGTTATTTGTGACAGGATTAGTTGTGTTAAAGTATAATTCCTGTACCTACAAACTCCCTTGTTATCCCTGTCCTAGAAACAACATGACAACAGACACATAAACAATAACACATGGCTCGCAGTGTGAACGACCTCATTGTCCTCTCTGAGTCAGACGTCCAGTCCTGAGTCACTCTGTGAGTCAGAGGTCTTTGTTTCTTATGGAAGCATTAATCAGCTCTGTGTTAGTGTCTGCTGTCACAACCAAGGTTACTAATGTTCACTAAAACTAAACTAAATAAACTAAAACTAGGTATGAAAAAATGTTTAATGAACTGAAATAAGAATAATAATTAGACTTGAACTACAAACTGTGTTTGTCCTGTAATAACAGTTCTGAACTTCTTCAATCTTGCTCCTGACAAATATCACTGGTTCCCAACCTTTTTCCTTAAGGGACCTTTTTTCTATAATTTTATAAACTGACTCAGTGACATATTTTAATGTATATTTCATATTATATTAAAAAC